CGATGTACACGAAGACTTTTTTCCATCTCCAGAAGATCGTGATGATGAGCACCTAGCCTCACATTCCCTCGGCTATGTACATGCATCATCGGGAGTACGGCGCTGGACCCGAAAGGGCCTGAAACATGAAATTGACTGGGCGCTCATCAAAGTCGATGAAGCCCGTATGGACCCTCGCAACATCGTTCTCGACACTACTAGATCCAGTGCCGCTCGTCCGGGACGCCCTATCCCGCCACAACCCATATTTCTGAACCAAGTAGCCCGGATGGAGGAGCTAGGTGGATTGCAAGTTCATTGCTGCGGCCGCACAAGTGGATTGCAAACAGGGCAGATATCCAAGGCTATGACATTGGTCAAACTTCAGGGACGACATTCATTTTCAACCAGCTTTTCCGTCAATGGGAATTTTGGAGGTAAGAGGTGCACTTCAGCGGATCCATGTTTTTGTCTATACGATCCTTAATTAGATACCCTTGTTTGTTTTTTCATGCACGCCCATCATTTGTTGCCCTTCTTAGCTGGTAAACATACAGCACCATCCCACCCTAAGACATCGGCTCGTATCGAGTAAGCATTTCATGAAGCTAATCTCTCTTGATTCGACAGCGCCTGGCGACTCTGGCGCATGGGTCTTCGACCGTCCTACCGGCCGTGTTTGCGGCCATGTTCTCGCCTGGTCCGCAAAAAGCAACACCACCTACATTTCCCCTATGGAGGTCACCTTCGATGACATCGCACGCACGCTCCGCGCCTCGGTCGTTTCTCTTCCCGGAGACCCGAACCGATCCATGAGTTACGTCGACCCTACCTCCTCACAGTCTGCTCAATACCGCTACCAAGCCCAGCGGCTTCCAGGAGACTTGGGCCGTTTGGCTTTTGGGGCTGGAGGTTCTCCCGGTCCGCCTGTACCGCCCTATCCCCATCATTATCCTCCCCCTCAGCCCTACCATCCAGCCTATGGACGTCCTCCACCTCCGCCTCCACCCCCTCCCGGCTCCCGAGAAGCTCATGGGCCTGTGTACAGTGGCCCAGTCCCTCCAATTCCGCCGTCGCTTCTGGCTGGACCCCGCAATGTCGAACGACAACTTGCTTGATTTTCTCAGATTTTGGAAAATCTAGATTATGGGAATAAGTTTTTGAGATTCATGTCATATTGGCCTGGGTATGTCGGTTTGTTATATGATTATGTTTTACGGATGTTGAGGATACCCATGATGGAGCGATGTTTGTTCTATTTTTGTTCACCCGCTATAAAAATTATCTGACATGAATTATTCGAAGAGCAGTATTCATGAAAGGGGTTATGCTCGATTGGAAGTAGATACGACACAGCCATTGAGAACATACTAATCTCGAGGCTAGTGCTAACTCGGACCGTCGGCTTCATGGTATCAACCCTGCCCAGTGGTTTCCCTTCCTTTTTCCGATCATTGTGGCCCTTGAACTAGCGTGTACTATTACCATTTGCAACCGCAATGCCTAACGCCACATCAGAGAGGCCCGAATCTCCCATCTTAATAGATTAAATGAAACGCCATGCAGACATAGCTAATATTTTTGACTGAGTTCCAACCTTGGAACCTCCTAGGTAGTTAGCAGTTATTAATTAGCTACCATTAGCTAATAGATGGCGGCGGCCACCCGTAGACATCCAAACGTCTTTTATATTCCTAATTCTGGGCCCGTTTCCTCTGTATATATGCCCTTGCTATGAAGCTTCATATTCTGTCGAACAGTATTCGCGATACATTGATATTAATATCAAACTGTACCTTGTGGATGAGACTCCGAAGGTTCTGGAAGCACTTCAAGACTAGGTGTTTGTAACCCCTTCCTTGTACAGGCCATGGTATATCAAATCCCCTATTGTATTCAAGCCAGAATTTATACTTTTACACAGGCTTTCACGAATCCAGGACTCAAACATTAGCTAGTCATTTACAGAGGAACATCTCAAGGAAGACCACATAGCCTTTTATATCAGTATTCGGAGCAATAGAAGTAGTGAACTAAGTATACAGAGAGAGAAAACAGAAAGAGAATGTGATGCACTACATGCACCTGTTTCTATGAGCTATTCAAAATGCTCAATGGAGAACAAAGAGGATCAAAAAAGGATTATAGAATGTCATGAGTTGAAAGGTAGCTCAATATGAATTACGCCCGTCAAGCCAACTGATCTACATTTCTATATAACTTCTACGGACTTCATAATTTGTTAGCTATCTATGGGGCATTGTCTCAGGGGATATTGATAGGACTGATGTTCCTCCATATATATTGGTGCATTGTTCTTTCATGTTCTCTAGTCCAAAATAGGAAGTGACCTATCAATAGCTCGTGACTTGAAAGGTTTCGCCATTTCTGTCTATCTTCGAATTTCTATGTAAACAACGATATCGACTCTTTCTCCGCCCGAGGCAAACGCGTCTTCGTCACAGCGCGTCCGTTCCTTCATCTCTGTTTACTTCTTCTCTCATCCGTTCCTTTATCTCTATTTTCTTCTTTTCTCTCATCTTCGATATTTTACCAAAAACTTCTTGAATCTCATAACTCTCATATCTTGTCTTTCCTTGAATCCGGTCATACCTCAGCGGTTCCGCTTGGCTCTAGGATTCGACCATGCATCATTTGCACACTTTCCATGGAGATCCCGAGCTGGGCACTCGGCCCCCCAAAGAATGGCCATACAGCCTGGATCGAGCTATCGAGCTTCTCAAGACGTGGTATGATAGTGATAAGCCTTTCTTCACGAAGAAAGACCTGAGAGCCGTCTCCAACCAACTCAATCGTCGCTACAATACACGAAAAAAGAACAGTGAACAAAAGCAATTGGTCTCTGTCAAGGGCCTCAGTGGCTCAAATATCTATTACCAAGTGATTACTGGGCGAGTGCTCATAGGAGCAGGGAAAAACGAAGACTGGGAGATGTAATTCGTTAATGATTGCCATCCAGGGCTCTTCTGGCACGTGACCCCAGCTAACACATCCACACCACAACAGGGAGGAACCAAAGATCCGATACCTTTGCTATGAGCAGCTCACTGCGTCAGTGAAGCTGGGGAGCATTGAACTGGTGGAAGCCTTTTTTCCATTGCAAATTGAGCATTTTATGCTCACACGCGCGAGTGACACCAAGCTGCCCATCTCCACCGAGTACATTGAGAACCCCGTGGCTGTGGACGTGACTCTCCGAAATATTCTGGATGTATGGAAGCACACCACTGAATTTCAGAAGCTCGAGTCCTTCCTCAAGCTTGTCACCCCTCGTAAAGTCACCAAGATTGTCGGTATCGCATCTGGATCAATGGAATTTGGTCCCGACGATGAGGATTGCACCTATCGCAGCGCCATGCAGCATTCCATGATGATCACTATCAAGGATTCCATTGCTAAGATGACAGATAAAAAGATCAAATGCTATGCCCAGGATCCTCGCTACACTGCCGTTGACACCTGGGCTCTTGCGGAGTATAACTGCGAGGTTCTGGAGGACCCCAAGGCTTTGCTTGAAATTGACGACGACTGCATTCTCTTTTCTTGCTGCCCTGCTCTTCCATTAAAGGAGATCACTGTTGACTTTGCTCGGCCTGCTATGCTTATTTGGGATCGAGTTGTCGATGAACCAAATCATGGGCGGTAAGTCTTATTCTGATGTTGTATTCACCTCATCTTGCTTACTGACTAGTTCGCCTAGCCACAACCCGAACTCCACTCGCGTACAGAACATGATCAAAAATGAATACGACTGCCATGAATTCTGGGACTTGCACGAAATTGGGACTGCTCCCTTTAAGTCTGACCTTGTTGCTTACATCCGCCGCCAGGCGGAGTAAGATCATCGCAAAGATCATCTGTTAGATTAAAGTGTGTCAGGGGATGGTCAATGTTTCTATTTGGCCTTGGGGGGAATGATTCGGTTTCTATGAGTTTTCGGGGAAATTTGTAAGGCCAATAGGAGTCTTTGATTGAGTGTGAAGCCAGTTTATGTTTGAAGAAAGCATCCTGATTTCCGGGTCTGCACAAGGCTGGAGTCATGTAATTGTACCCTTCATTGTGTATTTATGTCTTTGTTTCTCTGTTCATTTAGTAATCAATCTCCTCTCCATGCCACAATGGTACATTAAACGGGCCTTTTCAACCGCCCTTGGTCCTGTGAATGAAGTAAAAGACATATGGCTGCCAAATATAACACTGCCACCAAAGTTCTAGAGTATATATATACACATTCCCTAATTTCTATCCAGAGTATAGAAAGGTGATTGACAACAGGCGTAGTTTTAGACAATAACCGTGGACTTGGGTCCTAGTGACTTTGGGTCTTAGAGAATCAAACCCCCGATTGTGATCATTTATTCAGACCACTTCACTCCCATACTACCGGGTGAGTTATGAAAATGCATATGTAGGGCGTAAGACTTAATTGTAATGTTGGAATAATACACAACAGCCACGCCTTGTTCTATGACGGACATAACGGACCCACTTGGCGTGACCCACTTAACGCAACCTTATCCCAAAAAGGACCTGCCAACCTTCAAGGTTGATATCCATAGTTCCACTTTGTGTACGCACATTTGGTGATGATCACTAGGATTTCTAGATATTGTCGACTATGCTCTACCTATTTTGTTCGCTTGTAATTTTCACTACCTATTCACCTCCTAGCCAAAATAATATTCGTGGCAAAAGGGGGTTTCGTTGGCTGTACTGAAATTTAACCGGCTTTTGAGTTGTCTATCGCCTATGCCATGGGATCACATTGTATCGTCCTCCATTGAGGATGCTGCAACGTATGCGCCCTGAGAGGAACAGCCGTCAGTGATATGATGGGGTCTAGTAAATTAGTTGTGTAGAGTGCATGATCCTCGGCGTCCGATATCGATGTGACAAGGCACTGAGACACAAAACCTCCACACCAATGAGTTCTCTTGCGTTGGGGCTAGTCAAAGGCAACTCCAGGCCCTATCAGGCACATCTAGCTGCTCGTGCCAATTCTACTCCTCCTCCTCATCCTCATCCATACTCTCCCATTCATCTTCACCATCGCTCTGTTCAAGATCTGTCTCGTTGGAAAGGACGCTAAGCAGCTGTAACAACCCGGCCTGTGTGCGCCAGGCATCTGAGGATGGCAAATTTGGGCCAGGGCTACCAAGGCTTGCGCTATCCACTGCTGAAGGCTCATCCGTGTCACCGGAGGCAGAGTTAGAGAGGTTAGGGGCCAGGCTGAGTATGCGGATGACTTTTGTAGGAAAGACACGAGGAATTTCTCCGCCAGGTATTCCGCCTGGAACGTTAGAGTCACGCCAACCGAGGGTCTGCAATTTCCGATGTTAGCCGTTCTGTTTTTATCTTTTTGCAAAGTCAAAAAGGAGCTCACAGTGTAGGTAGTCATAATGGCATCATCAGCCAACGCCATGTAACTGATCGGCACAGCAAGCTGTGGTGCGGAGCTTGTGAGCAGCGAGTACGAGGCACGGGCAGGGTTCTTCAAATTTTGAACCCTATTATTGTCACCAAGGGCGACGACATAGATCCTATCTTGAATTTCGAACATCACACGGTGGTTGCGGATTGATAACCAACCACCAAGGTCAAAGCTTGACCCGTCTGATTGACATTCCAGGATGTAGCTGTTCGCCGCGAGACTAGCTTCATCACGGAGAGCCTTGCGGAAGTCGGGGCATATAAAGACACGACCGGCGCGAGAGAAGCCCACGAAGAGATCGCCGTTCAACATTCCCGCCCCCCATTCATCATCCCCATGCCAGACATGATCCGGGTCATCCGGTGGTGACAATGGACCTTCAGCGACCTCAATTGGTACCAAACAATCCTTTCGGAAAGCCCCGGGTGTGAGGGGTTGAGTTGTTAGGCCAAGTCGCGCAGCGCCTGCTAGTGCTGCACTCGTAGAAGCAGAGGCGGTCTTTGGAGGAAGGATGTGATATTTTTCGGTCGATTGGGACGGCTTTAAATTGCCTAAGAGTGCACCAGATTCCTTGCTGTGAGCAAAATAGCCTTTTGAGCCCATCGAATATATCACAATATCTTCGCTTTGATCCAGATGGCCAATGCCACCCCCCTCAATCCTCAGGTCGGTGGTCAACTTGGGAGGTCGCTGTGTCATATCGTACACAAACCCCCGACCCTCGTTGGAGACAACACATAGAGTCCAATAGGACAATTGGAACCCTCTCGTGTGGCAATCATGGCACAAGGTAGCGATACGCCGGAACTCTCCACGCTTAGCACCTTCATGGTCCGTCTGCCAAACCTCGAGCAAATCTCCTTCACTATCGAACACGGCCATTCCATCCTGATACTCCAAGTGTGCGTGTGGGCGAACTCCGTCTCCGTCTCCTTCGGTGTCTAGCACGGAAGGGAGTCGCCAGAGGAGGCGGCCCGTGTCCATATCAGTGACATTCAATCCGCCACCATGGGAAGTGGAAATGAAGAACCGGCGCTTGAAGTCGGCACGGAATCTCCAAATGGGATCATTACCGATTTGTACCACCGATTCCTGACTGACTGGATGCGGTTGGGCCCAATTACGGGCCAGCAGTGTCTGGCGCTTGCACAGGTCTTTCCATGATTTCGTGCCCTCGAATATTTTGCTAAAGCTGTGGGTATCGGCGAGGAAGGAGAATTCACGGCTACCTCCAAGCGGCTGGACGGTTTTAGCTTCGGATCCATAAATAACTTCTTGGTGAGTGCCGTCGATAAATTGGTGCCAAGCCTTGGAGGTCGCGGTCAGGGACGCAAGGCCGGAAACGGGGGTGAAGTGCAAGATTTGCAGGACAATCTCTGGGGGCAAGACAGTGAGAGGGTCTACTGTGGATGATACGGCGGTCATATTTTCAAAACAAGCAATGCAGAGTTGTCACAGAAAGCAAATTAGAGAGGTGGGGGTTCGCAATATTTCATCGTTCTCCACCATATATACGATGACGTAGCCGTTTAGACCCGTGGATACAGCAAATAGCCTCCGGGGCTCCAAGGGAAGTACCTAGAGCCTTAAAATTTTAAGCTTAAATTATTTTGATATGCCCAGATTTCAATCCGCTCGCCTCCATGTGCTCCAAGTACTAGATTCTTCCCATCCGAATCTGCGCTGCAATGCCTGCTTCAGTTCAAGGTACCTCATTCGCTCTTCCATATGCCGAACAAACCCTCGCTGGTCTGTATAGCGAATAATATCTTTTCCAAGGGCATTACTCCGTACCTATTGTCATATATGATGATGTGGGAGGCTGGGAAGAGTTGGGTTTTGCTGTACCCCGCAAGTACGAGCAAGTACATACGACAACCCAGCATATATTGAGAAATGTCCCGTCGCTTGGCACCCAAGGCCGAACGCAAAGCAGCCCGATTACGAGACTTGTCTGGTTTTTCCCTCATACCCCTCATCAACCATGGGTAACGAGACCCTTCAGCAGTTCGCCGCCCTCGATCTCGACTACTTGATTATAGGCGGAGGTACCGCAGGTCTAGCTGTTGCTGCACGCCTCACTGAGGACACTGGATTCCACGTGGGAGTCATCGAAGCCGGCCCATCGGTCTTGAACATAGATGATAATGGCGCGATCAATGTCCCTGGTCGGTATGGCGAAACCATCGGCTCTAAATACGATTGGAAATTCAAAACTACCCCACAACCGGGCCTAGGAGGAAGATCACTACCATGGCCACGAGGTCGTATATTAGGCGGCACAAGTGCGCTCAATCTTATGGCCTGGAACCGGGGTCATCGCAAAGACTATGATTCCTGGGCGGAACTTGGGAATGAGGGATGGGGATGGGAAGATCTACTGTATGAGTGACCAGCTTTCTGAGATTCGGGCTCCATTTTCGATCTCACCCGCTGATCTGTGAGATGCTAAATTCCTTCCAGGCCTTTTTTCCGCCGCAGCGAGAATTTCCACCCACCGAGTGCCGCTCATCAGAAATATTATCAGTCTTCCTATGATCCCCAGGCTAATGGAACGAAGGGCCCTCTACATACAACTCATGCCAAGCAGTATGGTCCCACACACCAATATTGGCATGAGACGCTCAATAATCTCGGGGTTCCATCCACGCGCGATAGCCTGGCTGGCGATAATACAGGTGTCTGGAACATGGTGTGCACAATTGATCCAGATAGTCAGGAGCGCAGCTACTCTGCCTCTGCATACTACCACCCCATCTCAAATCGCCCAAACCTACACATACTGACTGAAGCAACTGCCATGGAGATCCTGTTTGATTGCGAAAATGGTGATTGGTACGCAGCAGGGGCCCGAGTACGCTGGAACGGACTGGAAGCAAACATCAGAGCATACGAAGAGACAATCGTCTGTGCCGGTAGCGTGCAATCGCCGCAACTTCTAGAGCTATCTGGTATTGGCGATCAGGAAGTGTTGAGAGCTGCTGGAATCGAGACGAAAGTCCACAGTCCCAACGTAGGGGAGAATCTACAGGAGCATATGAGTATGGAATATAAACAGTGTTCCTTGTGATCTGAGCTGACGTGTATAAGTGACGGCCACCATCTTCGAGATATCCTCGACGATTCCAACCCGAGATGACATCCTCAAAGACCCCATTCAGCGCGAAGCTGCGGACCGCGCGTATTACGCTTCTCAAGCCGGGCCTTGGACTGTGATGCCCTGTTCAGTGGCGTACTGTCCGCTTTCGAAGATCCTATCGCCCAAGGAATGTGATGAATTACACACTCAGGCCAAGGAAATCGCGCGAGATACAGGAAGGACACATGACGCTATTCTGGCTGGTCAATTCGAGTACGGTCATGCGCGCGGTCAAATCGAATATCTGTTCGACCTTGGTAACTGGAGCCCATATTTTGTCTCTGAGCCAGGAAAGAAATACGCCACAATGCTGCAAATGCTGCAGTACCCTTTCTCGCGCGGATCTATCCATATCCCTGCTATGGGCGAACACAATTATGAAAAGACCACAATTAATGATAAACCCGTGATTGATCCGCGATATTTTCTGGGGCCTGGGGAGATTGATAAGAAGGTCATGGCCAAAGCACTCAGGTGGGGAGATCGAATCTGCCAAACCGAGCCCTTGGCCAAACTCATTCGCCGTCGAGTCTTTCCTCCGCCTGCCAAGGAAGCAGACTCTGAAGAGAAGGTATACGAAGATTTTGTCTCAAATTATACTGTCACTGACTGGCATCGTATGTTTCCCCTCCAAGATTCATTCAGCAAATCACTAAAGACACATATAGCAGTTGGGACCTGCGCTATGGGTGCGGCAGATGGGACCAATGCTGGAGTTGTGAATGATATGCTACAGGTGCATGGCGTCTATTGTCTGCGGGTTGTAGATGCTAGCATCATGCCATTGCAGGTTGGGGCACACATCCAAGCCACCGTATACGCGATTGCCGAAAAGGCGGCGGAGATGATCATAGATGACTATTTTGCTCGAAACGGTCCCCGATGAATCTTGGGCTTGCATCCAATGATGATATTTTATCTCTATGGCCTTGTCAATATCTTGCCCAGTAGCACCACTGATTCATATTTTCCAAGTTGCCATTGTTACACATATCTCGAGCTGAAATTCTGCAAATCGAGACTTATTTTTCCGCGAACCTTTCTCATTTCATGCTTAGCTGGTTTGCATGGATTGCTCCACACTCAAGCATCACCCATGGCTATGAGACATAGCTGTGCACACATGCAACCCTGGCGATGTTCCCCAGACGAAGATGATCCGTGGAACATTGGAAGTTCTTCAATAAAAAGAAACACCAAGACTAGGATGGCTCGGATTGTTAAACAAACAGACCGGGGATTGAAAGCAGAACTCCCCGATCGGCTAAAGCCGACGTTTAACTCTCCCCCTCCTTGAGAGGGGCAATCTTCTTATTTTGTGCCGATTGCCCGGGGAATTCATTCGGATATTTTTCCAGGGTCTCACTGGAAATCTTATTAAACTACATTCAACTTCGTGAGCTAACAAGACTTCCACATCTTATACCATCGTCAACTATCTCTTCGCATCTCTCATCCGACACGGAAACTGATTCCCGCGCGACTTGAATATATACCGGCTCTTGCTCAACATACCATCACATATATCCTCTATCGTACTATCCTACAATGATTTCTGGAATCGCCCACATCAATCTCACCATCCCTCAGGGCACATTAGACCAAGCCGAGGAGTTCTACGGGACTACCCTCGGACTCACTTCGGCGCCGGTACCGGAGCTCCAGAAGGGGACAATCTTATGGTATTGAAGCGAGCTATTTCCAAAAGAAAAAAACATCATTTTCTAATATCAACAGGTTCAATATCGGCTCCAGTGGACAGCAAGTGCATATTACCCATGGTGCGACCGATCCCCAAGCTAGCCGGCACCCATGCTTCAAACTGCCTTCCCGTGAGGAACTAGAGGAGATTAAGACAAGCATTTATAACCATCACGTGCGGGGTGGTCCTGCAGCTCCAATGGCTGCTGATAAGCCTGGCGAGGCGAACTCAGGTGAGAGATGTCTTAATATCATCCCCGCGTACGGTTTGCTGATCGACTACAGGGACCCAAGGGAAAGAATATCCTACACGGTTCTTCGCTCGGGATTTTGGCGGAAACTTGCTTGAGTTTACTATGTAAATATTCTGTTTTGAGTCGAGTTCTACCAAGTGCGGGTGTGGGATCGAAGGGAAACAGTCTAATATTAACAATTTCAATTGATATGGAGTCAGAAGTCCTGTATGGCCTGTCTAAGCAGCTACTCCTCGGAGTTAATTTCAGAATTGCTAGGAAACTGTCGACTCATGATAAGTAACTAGCTCTGGTCTGTTATTCAGAACAATAAATGTACAGCCACATACGATGATGAGCCAATTGTGGCGTAAATGCGGGCCAAGCCCACCAAACCGACGAACTGGAGTTGCCGACCATCCCGTTGCACAGCCCCACCTGATACTTGGACGTTGTGCTTTCCTCCAATCTCACCAACAACACATACAAGACAAGAATACACAACATCATCTACTATGGGTAAATCAACACCTATAGAACCAGCTCCAGCCTATGAGGACCTGTTTCATGAGCGCGGCTCAAGCTCACGAAATGGTGTAAGTAAATTACTCACCCGAAGGGATGGGTCATAAAGTCCAGATGGTTCCATCAACATGCTAATCAACCCAAATGAATAGTATGCTATGGTCGGTCAAACAGATGATACCACCGATGAAACCCAAGACGTGGAACAGGGTCTCCACATTCATGGCGTGCCCGCCCCCATCGAAGTGACAGCGGCTGGTGAGCTGGATCAACACACTCACTGTGCAGAATGTGATCGGCAGCAGGAACGCAGAGAGCGACGGGAGAGTTCCCAGAAAGCATGTGGCATGGTTGCGACAACCTTCATCCTGATCTCTTTGTTCCTGATGATATTGGGAATCGTTATCGTTGGAGCTTGGAAGGATGTCCGCATGAAGAAGTCACATGGTTAGAGGGTGTTGAGTTTCTTGGAATACTTTGACTAGAATCATATCGCATAGTAGCTTTACTGTTTGTTGTTTACTTTCTTTCTTTCTATTAATCATGGAGAGAACTTGATTTTATTGAATATTGTATTGAATATTAGAATTGAATAGATCAACCCCGTAGTCGTATATAAGAGGATCCAAAACCAAAAAAAGAAAACACCATGCAATCTCTAACAAAATAAAAACCCAACCAAGAGAAAAACCATCAAGTCATAATAGATGCTTCTGTCCAAAACATATGCAAACGAATCTAAGCAGAACCGAGATACTTGAGCACATTCTCACGTTCCTCAACAGGCAACATAGAAAGCACCTGCTGCACACCGCGCAGACCACCCT